ATTCGGAGAAAAAGGAGTTTTCCCCATAGCGTCTTAGCAGACGCAGTACTCGTTCCCGTATCTCAGAGAACCGAGGTTACGTCATAACCGAGTATGTTTATTTTAATAAATATCAAAAATGTAAAAGGTGTGCATTATAGTTGACACCTAGATGAACAGTTTACAGTTGTTTTTATGATTTTTTTCTGCTATGTTGGTATGTAAAGCAGCCTCGTTAATGGCCAACATGATCCCTCCCCTCCCCATACCTCCCATCTCTATTGTGTTTCCTGTCGCAGGAGTCCTCTTACCCCTCTGCCTGGCATAGAACCCTACTGGGAAGGGCAGGAAAGGAGCAGCTACAGGCCTCCGTCCTCCAGTCCTCTGTGAGTGCCTGCACCTTGTTCAGCAGTGTGCACTGCCTTATGTCGCATGCATCCCATGTGCGCTGCTGGCCACGGTTGTTTTGGCAGGCTGTGAACCCATGCGCTATACACACAGGAGACTCAAATCTTAAGACTTTGTCGCCTTTTGGCACCCTGCCCGACTCGCACATTTACGGTTAGGACCTTGAAATTAATGTGTAAGTAAGGTGTGCATTATATAGTTGACACCTAAATAACACTTTACAGTTGTTTTTATGACTAAGTTATTCTCCTCAAATGCTATTGAGCCTTAAATTTGTGTTTGAGCCCATTCAGTTGTGGAAAAAGTAGCATATTTTACATATGATTTACGGTTTATTTTAATAAATATCAAAAATGTAAAAGGTGTGCATTATAGTTGACACCTAGATGAACAGTTTACAGTTGGTTTTATGACTGTAAGTCATTCTCCTCAAATGCTATTGAAGTTAGAAAAGTGTATACCAATATCGCATGCAACTTTAGAGACGGTCCCTAAATTTGCGAATATCGAACGTCCAACGTCAAGCCAACTTTATGCCAGAATTTATTAGTGAGGTGTGCTTTAAATATCACTAGCACTTGACAATATATCGCTTGTGTAGCAGCACTGCGCTCATTCTTCTGTTTTCTTGTTGGTAGGCTATTTCCACAGAATGAAGGGTTGTACGAATTTCTGAATGAACTGCTCGTTTTAAAATCTTCACGGTCTACTGACATTTGTAATGACATCCACTTTGAACATTACAATGCACATGATAATTTTCGTTAACTACAAAGTAAAGCTATAGCTACCGCATAAACGGAAGTTCAAAGACAAAATTCAAAAAGCTGCGCAATTGTTTCTCTGATGCATAACGTTTATACAATGGACCTTTTTTGACCGTGAAATTTCGCTAAATGTGACTATCTTCATTTACTGTTGCTCTATTAAATTCAGTAATTTCAAAAGGATCCAGAGTTTTGGACATAGGACATTTCGCTCAATTTCAAATTGGTCAAATGAATTAGCCGCTTTGACCAACAAAACCTGCTTTAACTTAACTTCTGTGAGCGGCATCTAACACACATCCATGCTATTGACAATAACTGATCGTTTTTGTTCGCGAAATTTCGCTGCAGATTTGCTAATGTGTTCAGAGAAAACCAAAACCAACCCAGATAGCACACGTCCCTCTACAAGATGTCTGTTAAAGACCGCTTGATCTGGAAAGCATCTGCTGTTTACAAACATCTGACAGATGTCTTTAAGATGTCAGTTTTACATACATTCTAAATCATAAACATGATTTAAAAAACGACTATTTGACATCTGAAAGGAAACGCCCTAAAGACGTATTACAAATGAGCAAACACTAAAAATACCTCTTGCAGATGTAAATGCAGACGTCAAATAGACGTCTCTGTGATGAGGGCTGTGTGCTATCGGGGAACCAACAATGCAAAAATTACGTCTAGTGATGGAAAAGTGTATTATATTGTATACAGATCCTTGTGATATAATATCCGTGTTGTATTTGTATTATATGTGGAATCAATACATGAATAACATGTTCATAGTTTGTGATCACGTAACGTTTGTTTTCAATTCTATCAGACAATTGTTGAATATGAATTAACAGGCAAATATTGTGGCGCTCACACAAGATGGCAGCAGTTACGCTGAGCTTTTGCTGTGCGTGTAGCCTAACACTGGCAGATGTTTACAATAATTCAACAGGATCATAACTCAAACACACACACACACACACACACACACACACGCACAGAGTGTTAGACAGATACAATACCAGAGGGAGCATTAGCATAGCAGCGAATTGCCATTATTTGCTCAGATGGTTCCTGGTATTAACACAGAGCTCTATGTAATGAACACAGGCAGACTCTCTAAAGCACTGAGGTTTGTATTCTCAGCTTGTCTCCCCCAGAATAAAAGAGAAGCAGAGACTGCTTTTGTTTCAGTCTATTTCCCTCCGAATAGTAATGAGAGCAGGCAGTGAAGGCACAGAACCTGTTCTCTTCACTACCTGTGTGACTCCACTTTACTATCTTAAGGATTTATTGGATAATGTATTTGCATCAAGTTCAGTCTCGTTTTGTCCCTCTACTCTCTTAAATTGTAATATTAGACTTGGTAAGATATTTGGCATTATCTCAGCTGCAGGTGGTGCTAACCGCACTATATTCACAATGCATTGGCCATTAACTTTTATTATTAGGTTTTCCTACTCATGTATTTTTTTTTAAATAAAGATACGTTTGAATCAGACTAATCGGTAATGTTTAATGAAACTGTCTAGCCTTGTTTTACCGACTCTAGGCTGCCTATAATAAACAACGGCATTTAAGCATCATGAAGAACCGCAAATCACTTCTGTAATAGAGATTTGATGCTAAACTGATATATTTACGGTCTAAGATAAATTTAAAATGCATTTTTTTGTGAAAAATTATATAATTTACTCCCTCATCTTGTTACAAACCTATCCCAATGTTCACGCTTCTCTCGTCAGTGCAGACGTGGATGGTGACCAGGAGATTGCAAACTTCAAAAATAGCATCATGAAACATTCGATTTCTACTTTGAGAAATAACAACTCAAAATGTACATTTTTACGTAATTACGTAATACAGTAGTGGTCACCATTCACTTTTGATTTTATACAAAAGAGCAGCTTGAACATTCTGCATAACATCTCCTTTTGTGATCCACACAGGAAAGCCCATCATATGGCTTTGGAACTACATGAGGGTGAATAAATGACAAAATATTTGTTGTATAAAGGATCATTAACTCCTGTGAGTCGAACACATGAAAAAGCCAGACAAACTTAAGTCCATTTTTTATTTATTTTTTTCTAACTGCAGATTTAAGGAATACAACTGAACATTGTTATTTTGAGACTCATAAATAAAAAAAACAAACAAAAAAAAAACAACACTACAAAAACAATCTACTGTTAGTAGGATGTAAAAAATATCTTTCACTATTAAAGGCACAAAATTTACTTCGTGACAACACTGAGAAGAAAACCTGCAGCGTTCGATCTCTTTAAATTCTTTATTTTTTTCACACTCCATCAGAGAACACTGAAATGTTACAAAGAGATGTGTCTGATCCTACACCGAAATAAAGACTACATCAGGAAACTGATGCCAATATCTGTAGCACGACATCCAGAAAGTAGTGCTACAAAAAATAGCATGTTGCTGGAAAATACAAAGGACCGTTGCAAAGCTCTAATGCAAATTAAAATTTGTACAATTGACAACAAACTGAAAAAAAACAAAAAAAACAAATTGGGCACCTTCTAAGATTAGGCTAAGATTAGGTGCTGAGGTAGACGTAACAATTCAAATAATAATAATAGAACAAACAAAAATAAAAAGCCCAGAAACAAAACACTATATTCTTAAAGAGCAACAGGACTGGCACTTGTGCTGTCACAAGGGAGGAAAAAAATACAGACAAGCCAGAGAAGGAGAGGGGGAAGAGAGAAACTGCTTTGTTACATAAAAAGCTTTGTTATGCTTGGTCCGACAGGGCAATTGGTCCTCAGTGCTAATATTAAAAAAAAGACAACGTCTTGGTGCTTTGTTACTCAAACAGTTTAGTTTTGACCTCAACGGCACATGCATGGCAACACAGCATGAAATGGCTACTCTTTCTAGAACACCACACTGGAACACAGTGAGCCAACTCCAGGGATGCAATGATAACATAAGTACTTTAAACAACAAATAAAAATGTCTAGTAGGGGCAGTACAAATGCCGAATGTTAAAGGGACATGGTTGAAAAGTTTAATCAGCAAACCTGTTGCTGAGGCAAAAAAAGAATGAGGAAATGAAAGTAAGTTTGATTCTCAAACATCAATTTTTTCCCCCCTCAAAGCAGGATATTCATTGTGAAAAACGCTCTTATTCCGATCCAAGGAATGTTTGGCTTGTCTTTTTCAAACTGTGTATAAAACACTACAATACTGATCGGTCGCCAGTGGAACCACTGAAAATAGACCAAATGATCATCACATAACAAAAATCGTCTCAAGTGAATCCATCTGAGATCATACAAAGTTTTGCCCCGCTGCAACCTCAACAAATGGAAAAAAGGGACTGACACTTAATACAAAAATATCACAATTTTATATATCAAATGGCCTCTGTTGGCTCTTGCTCAGGACTACACTCATACAAAGAAACATGTCAACTGACAGGATTTTTCGTTTTTTTTCCTTCTTCCTTTCGTCTTTGATTACCACTTGCAGTCCCAATTGTCCAACGCACAATGCACTGCTGCATATGACCTGTTCTTGGCGGCTCACGCTCTGTGAACCTTCTTTTTTCACATTACAAAACTACAATTCTATTCACATATTTTCAAGTTTAACGTGTTTTTTTTTTTCCCCAGACTTTAAAGTACTACACTTCACTTGTTCCATACGCACCTCCCAGATCAACTCCGACCCCAAACTTAAGGCTTCAGAAATCTCTTTTCTGCTCTTAAGGTAACAATTTACAGGGGTGGGGGGGACTGACAGGGAAAGTTCTGATTATTTTTTTCAATCCGCTTTTCCTATAAGTAAATCTTACTTTTTCATATTCGTCGCTTCCGACGTACAACACTTGAAAGCGTATGATGAAGTTGCAATAACGCAAAACACAACAATGTGCTTTCGCAAACGAAACACAACAAAAAGAAATAAAACTTAGAGGTAGCTTAAAAAAAAAAAAAAAAAAAAACAAAACCCACAAGCTCTTCAACAAGCAGGGTTAGTAAAACAAAACAAACAAAACAAAAACATAATACCAAGTTTGGTAAGATTAATGCAAAGAAAAACAAACTTCGAACGAAAGACAATCTCTCTTCACCATGGCACTTAATTTCTTAAGTACATAAAAGCACACGCCGCTCCTGCTCGCAAAGCAAACAGTCAAATATACAAAGAAACAAAGGAAAAATTAAAACACTGGCACATGAGGTCACAAAAAAACGAGGTAATTCAAGTACGATGTGCTGAAGTAAATCAAGGTATAATAGGAAACACAAACAAAGCGAAAGGAACCAAACCAAAAGAGTTGATCTGCTCTGTTCATTCATCCCAGCGTTCCCGGCTGGACAGGCCAAGCCTCGTGACCACCTACGAACACACGGATATGTGCGGACGAGCCCTGTACGTCACAGTGCCGCTCAGTCTGCAAGCCACTGACTAAAGCAGCTTCAGTCATCATTTTGGTCTCTATAACAACAGCATAAACAGTTGATTAGATTTCTAGTGTGTAATGGATGTTCTGTATGTATTGCCAAGTTACTCGTTTCGAACGGTTAAGCGATTTCAGACTTGATAAGCGAAGGAGGAGATAACGTGAACATGTACAGTGTGTGCGTGTTATTCTGCTTAAAATAAACTCGAAATGTTGCGCTTGAGAAATCAACATCAAACAAAACCTGTCGTCGTGAAGTCAGCTTGTAATACACGCTATGCCAAGAGAAAAAAAAAAGTGAAATGACATTGATGAGCAGAGTACTGAGAGCTTAGCTGATTTGTACACTGGTTAAACCAATAAGCCCTTAATGAATGTGAATCATATGGGAGGGATCTACATGCTGACTGTCAGCCGGGCATCGTGAACATGTTTTGCAGGAAGCTTGCGTTTCAGTTTGCAGTAATGACCCTGATGAGCATGACTGTTCATATTTGCTGTGGAGTACCTGACTGGCACGTTACCGCTGACGGGTCTAAGTGCTTCCTGCACCGACATCTCTGAGAGATAAACACTGTGTCTGGTTCACACTACTGTTTTTGTACCAGAAGAGGGCATCCTTATGAAGAGGAGGAATCGTTGTTGAAGTGTGTGTCGTTTGACTGATAAGACATATTTAACGTTTGGGACGTAAGCTGACATGTAGAGAGTGGACTTCCCATATACGGCTATAACATGATGCTTTAAAAAAAAAAATGTTTTGCTATACTGACGGGGTAAGATTTCTGTCCGCCTTGCCCAGCACCACCAACAAATCCATCCATTTCCTGACTGTGTTTCCAGGAACTTTAACCCCTCGCCCTCCCGTTCCCCTCCCTCCCCGCCATCTCCCTCCTTTAGACATAGCAGAGGTAGAGGTAAGTCTTCTCTATCCTCCAGTCCGGGGGGATGTCTTCGGGCTTGTGGCCCTTCATGTGCTTCTGCATGGAGGAGAGGCTGGGGCAGTATTCCAGGCAGATGGTGCACTGGTACGGTGAGGCTCCGTTGTGGGTACGCAGGTGTTTGATCATGGCCGAGTAGTCCCTGGAGCGCTGGTGGCAGAGCTTGCACTCAAACGGCTTCTCACCTGCATGGAGAACAGAAAATGTCAAGATTTTGCACAACATGTCAAGAGATTTTGTACTCTGAATGGTGCTCTCTGATATTCGTGAACAGACAGGAATACTCATCTGTATGAAAAGTAGGAATATGATTAAGTGAATGACTCTCCTAGTAATGCTATACGGAACATGGTTTTGATGCATAATCCATAGATAGTCCATAGATTTTTTTTTTAATCAAGATTTTAATGTAAATTTACATAAAACATATATGAACTTATATACATAAATCAAACATATAAATAAATTAAATTATGAATAAAATTGATCAAAAGCAACAGTAAAGGCATTTACATTGTTAAAATTTTTTTTTTTTTTTCAAATAAATGCTGTTCTTAAAAAAATAAAGAAAAATAAAGAAAAAAAACCCCCTGAAACATATCACAATTTCCACAAAAATATGAAGCTGTTTACAACATTGATAATAATAATAATAAAAAAAGGTTTCTTGAGCAGTTACGAATGATTTCTAAAGAATCATGTGACACTCAAGAGTAATGGAGTAATGGCTGCTGAAAATGTCACTTTGTCATCACAGGAATAAATTAAATTTTAAAATATATTAAAATAGAAACCAATTTTAAATTGCAATGATATTTAATAACTAATGATTTGACTGTATTTAAATTTTTTTAACTACTGTTCAAATATGATTTCAAAAATATTTTTATATATATTTAAAAAAAAAATTCTCTGTCTCATAACAGACAAGTGTACAAAAACTTTGCAGCATAGTGTACCTGAAAAACAATCATGTGGAACAGCAGTGAATGTTGCATTTGACAAACTAGCTACACAGTTAAATAAATTTGTTTCTTAGATCAGAAGGTTGACAGAAACCTCTTAAAGAGACAGTAACGCAAAGCGCAGCACATTTGTTCCGACGGTGTAAATTAGTCATCTAAACGTTGACCTTTAAAAATGTCACTAGGGAAAGCATTGATAAGTTGAGGATTGAAGAATGCTCGCGTTGGGTAAAGGCATCCTGGGAATGCAAAGTCTCTGCGTTGTTTGCTCAGGTCTTCTGTTTGTTTAACGGAGGGATTGAGGAACCTTGACCTCGGCGGTTCGAGCAATGTCACGTCCGCCTGCGTTTGCGTATGCAAAGGCTCTAATGAGACGGTCATTAAACTGTCGAGACTCCAGTGATACATGCACGTGTGGTCAGTGTACTTTAACTGCACTGTAAACAGGGCAGCCTCAGATAACCAGGCAATAATGAATTGCAAATGGAGCCGAGTTATTGATTGCTCATCGACAGGAGCAGGGCTGCCAATGTCGATGCTTCATCAAGCGGCTCCCTTTTTGCATGCAGTGGCCTTTGACTGTGAGCTTGTCGTTGTTCTTGTTATCTCGGGCGCTCTGTGGTCGCCGCCGAGGCTTTACCCCATCCCCACCCCACCCAAAGAAGCCAATTATTCGACAGGCTTTCTTGATAGTTTGGCTTAGCGGCATCGCTTTTTGAGTGGCAGAGAGGAGGGGAAGATCTGGTGTCCGTCGTGTGCGTCCGAGAGACCTGGTCTCTACAGTACTGCGCTAATCCCCTTTTCAAAGAGTGAGCCGACAGCACTGGAAATGGCCTGCCCTTTGGTGTGGGCTTTACAGAGCGCCAAAACGTATGAATCAATCAGATATCACCTTAACAAGAGGAAAGGGGCTCTTTACACAGGTCTGAAGCCAAACAGAGGCAAGGCCTGCTCTGGCATCGGCCTCAGCTGTGATCTAAAGATCTGATATGACGCTCGCCCGCTGACAAGGATAACAGCAGCTCTACATGCGACTGTAGCGCTTATCGTGATTTAAGTAGGGCATGTTACTGGATCAAAATCCTCACTGGCGCTGGAAAAGTAGTACAATAAGCCAAGGAGGACTAGAATACACAAAGAAAGCTTTTCCAGTCGCCTTGGCTTGATAAATAAGAAGAAGTGTACAGTACCTGTATGGACACGGTAGTGGGTCTCTAGCTGGTGTTTGAGGCTGAACCTCTTGCCGCAGCCGTTACATTCATAGGGTTTCTCTCCGGTGTGGATGCGTTTGTGTCCCTTCAGTGTGCTCTCGTCTCGGAAGCAGCTGCCGCAGAACTCGCACTCAAATGGATGGTCACCTGCTGGACAGAGGTCTGGTCAGTATGCGTAGTATATGCAAGTTAATGTTAATCATAAACACGGTTATGTGTTTAAATTACATTTAAAGGGATAGTTCACCCAAAAATGAAAATTCTAAAGCCTTTTTTTTTCTCGTTTCTTTGCACAGTATTCTTCTAGCTTCAATAAACTATTTTAACAATGTCCTTACTACCTTTCTGGGCCTTGAACGTGGTAGTTCCCTTGCTGTCTATGCAGGGTCAGAAAGTTCTCGGATTTCATCAAAAATATATTGTGTTCCGAAGATGAACGAAGGTCTTATGGGTTTGGAATGACATGAGGGTAAGTAATTAATGACAGAATTTTAATTTGGGGGGGAACTATCCCTTTAAAGGTGTAACTTCTATACCTTTAGTGACAGAAAATGACATTGTTGCAGTGTTGTGATACTCAAACAAACAGAACTATGTTTATAGTTGATAGAGCCATAAAACAGTGTTTACTCTGACTTTATACACTGATACACATTGGAAAGCAATGGGGAAATCTGGGGAAAGCAAAAGTTGGTTATCACTGCAAAACAAAATGTAAAAAGAATAGAAGAATACATTTTACAACCTTTAATGTCAATGAACTGAATATACAAAGGCTGTAAAATGAAAAGATTTGAAAATGTTGGAAAACAAAGAAAATATGAGAAAAAATCATGAGGGAAAAAAAAAAAAAAAAGTAATTCTTTCTCTCACAAAACATTAAACAGCTGGCCTATAATATTTATTTGAAATCAAGTCATTATAAGCTCTCAGTACAATATCATCAATTGTCTGTTATAGGTCATTGTCATCTATATCTTCCTGTCTTCTTGCACTGTAATGGATATTCAGAGGTCAGTAATCAGTGATATTATGATATGCGGGGGTGTTTCTTTTTCTGCTCTCTGCTCTCTGCTCTAATTGCGTTTCTGTGTCTCACTATCAGCTAACCATATATCACTCTCTCTCCGTACAGATGCACGACTCCGCCAGGCGTGTAATGTTCCCCATATTTAATGCATTTCACTTCTGTGCGGAGGGTTTAAGTCATTGTCTATGACCTACGCGTTTCATTATCTGGCTGTCCGAGCGGCACCGTGCCTGGGAATAAATTGCATTTCTCGTTATGTACTGTCATGCTCAGACTCCCGCTGCCTCCCGTTTACCAGACAATGTCAATTTCCTCAGGCATGTTTTGTGGCGAGACGCAGCTAAACGCCTCACATTTACATGGCTGCTCGGGCTCCACCGTCTTCGCTTCACCAGTAATGGGAGAGACAAAAAAAAGCAGGAGATGACACAAAACAGACAAAAACCCCCCATACATTTCAGAAATCAATAAAAGTGACAGTATTTATTTGTGCGCATGAAGTTATCAGTCGCTGTAAGAAATTTGGCGCTTCGAAATGCCTCCGCAGCAGAAGAGATCACAATCCATCACGCTCCCTGACTGCTCTCCGGCACGCGACGAGAATAGCATTCCCGCCAAATTCACCTGACTTTAATTGTGCCTAAGCTGGCGCTTCAATCGAAGACATCTGCGTTAGCCTCCAGAAAACTGGCCACCAGTTAAATCCGCAGGCTTGCTTCTACCCTCAGTAAAAGCATATTTAATCTTTATTTGACAAAATAATTTGTGACAGCCATCTCATGATACCACAAGGCACAAATTCATATCGTAATACTCGCCTGGTATTTTTTTAGGCTACCTGGTATGTAAATGCAGCGTGTCGCTGCTATAAACAGAAGGCAATTTGCTTATCAAATTCTGTTTGGCGGCTTTGCTTTGTTTGGAATACATTAAGCTTTGAGGCAGTAAAGATACAAGGTGATAGATCAAGATGCTGTCACCGACTGCGTGTTCCTCGGTTCCTTTCTGTGTCTGTCTGCAAGTCTGGTGGCTGCGAGGCACAAAGAGGGCGGAAAAGACATTTGGGAAGCTCGGGGGCTGCCACCTGCGTCCCCGTGCCTCAGGGGACCGCTGCGGTGGCGTACCTGGCCGGGGTCTGCGGGCACCGCCTGGCTCCTGGCAGGGCCGAGGCTTACGTTAAGGCAGGGGCCGAGTTCATTATGCGCTAAGCAGCGTAAATCAAGGATCCATCACTGCCAGGGTCTCAACTGGGCTGCACTATCAAACACAGCTGTGAACACAAAACACCCGCCGCAGATGGAAAATGGGCTCCGAATAAAACACAAGCACAGAACAACAACGGAATATTAACGAGGCACGGCCGGCAGCGTGCGGAACGGAGGGGGGAGCGAGGGGGCTGCCATGATTATCAGCCCTAATGGATGCCAGCGTTCGCTCACACTGTGCGTGCCTGTAAAAGTACACGAGCAAGTACATTCAAGAACAGAAATTCCTCTCAAAAATCAGCGGAAACTTGTGTAATCATTCGCTGAAATCCTGTCAAAATTGGTTCTGCATCAGCATTTAGGTGGAGGTATGACTGAAATCAAATTTAAGCTTGGGCTTGAATTACTGAGTAATGACTGTGTGGGCCCATAATCACTCATTTAACTTATTTTTGAGTGGGCACCACACACATGGAGCAAAAAGGGATACGTTAAGCTATTGCTTCAGTGTTTTTGCAGAGTACATACTGCAGAGAATACCTGAAAATACTTTGATTTCGCTTACCTATACAACTGAATTAATTTGATTTAACCTATACAACTGATATTAGATAATTATTAGATAATATTTTCATGTATTTAATGCACTAAAGAAAGAAAAAAATGTGCAAACTATACAAATTAAATGATTAACAGTTCTTTGCAGATGTTTGGGGTCTGTAAGGTATCTTAAAAGAAGTCTCATGTTCACCAAGACTGCATTTATTTGATCAAAATTACAGTCAAAACAGTATTATTGTGAAATATAATTTTCTATTTTAATGTTATTATATGCTGATTTGGTGTTTAAAAAACACTAATTATTTCTCTTATTATAATTTGCATGGTATATGTAAAGTTCAATGGAACAGCATTTATTTGTCAAAATCTTTTGTAACATTATAAATGTGTTTACTGTTACTTTTGGTCAGTTTAATGCATCCTTTAATGCAAAAAAGAGGAAAGAATGACTATTTCCACAGTTTTGAAGTGTAATTCATGTATGTAAAGAAATCTTAAAGATATAGAATTCAAAATTTTAAAATCAATAAAACACTCAAAGGCAACATTTAAAAAAAAAAATACAATTGACCCCCATTTTATGAACTTAACTTTACATGTGTTATTTTTTTAAATTTATTTTAGCTGCCACTGGCCAGCAAAAAAGTCCTGATGGATAAACATTTGTACAATAAACGTTTGTGAATGTATGTTTTGATAAACATTTGTGAATGTATGTTTTGTTCATGGTTAATAATGTATAACCATTATAGATTCAATTATACTTAAATTCCACTATACAAAGTGCGCAAATGAAATGCATGTTAAACGTCAATCACAAAATGCATGTTAAAATCTTTGAGACTTTAATTCTTTGAGAAAGCCTATGATTGAAAGGCAAAACAAGGTTTTTTATATAAACCACCTGGTGTGTAGTAACTGTTTTAAAGTAAATCAATGCAACAATGGTGACTTCAAATATATTAACAAACAATAAATTCAAGGAAGATATTTCTGGTGTGGTGTTGATAAAAGGGTACTTGAGCCCTATTGACAGGGTTGTAGGAGTACATAAGATAAAAAAAAAGGTTGGGAAACATGGCTCTGGAGGAACATCCGAGTGCTTATCACATCAGCGACTCAGTTTCCAGCATTAAAAAATACACTGTGAATGAGATTAAGAAGATCAAAGGAGAATTAAACGCGAGCAGTGAGTCTTCTTTTTTTGTCCTCTTTAAGAAAAAATTTAGAGACTTATTTTCGGTGGTTTTTGCAAGTGCCAATAGCAGTTTTTCCCTTTCAGCTCCTTGACAAAAGCCCCCACATCACATTAAACGTGTGCTTGCTAGCGCTCATTGTAATTTAATACACGCCTACAGAGAATTGGGTTCAAACTAGCGCAACGCTGCGTCACAGCCTCTCTCTCTCCCTCCACCACGTCTGCGGCGAAGCTGACCGTTGACATTTATGCGTGCAGGCGGGAGCGTCGGCTCCGATGTATGGTCCGGCGAGGACAAGCGAGTACAGTAAGCGCTTGGCCGCCTTGTACCATCAGCCGCCCAATAAAGGCCGGGCGGCCTATAAACAGGCGGGCTTTGCTCATCTTCCTCTTTCGCTTCAAATATTCACCCCTGCAGCCGCAGAGTAAAGCAACTCTGACACGTCAGGCTGTTATTTAGGGTCAGAGACGATGGGGGGAGAAGGCTTTCTGGAGAAAATGGGATTCATTTCCAGCGTCTCATATTCGGAGACAGTAATGGAGACTGTTCCCAGAGTCGCCGCATCTGCTCAGCCACGCGTCTGGCCACATGGGGATGGATCCGCCGTATAGCAGGACTAGCCCGACTGGGGAGGGCGATATCTGCGCTGTCACAAGCCATCACAGCGCTTTGGCCTTTCACTAAATGACATGTCACTTCAGCCTGCTATCTTCATTCCATCCACCTCCATCCAGAAGGTGATGGGAAGACGGGTGGGAGAAAAAAACCAACACAATGACTGTACCAGGATCCTGATTTAAACACTCTACAGGGTGAATCACATCTCAGCATGTTTAAAATAATCACTCGGCTTGACGGATGTGCATAAAACATCAAAGCACCAAATTAGTATGTATTACTGATTCATTCCAAAAATGTGGCTCCTGAGGCTGTCGGTTATGCACAAATGCGCAACGTCAAGACACACAAACTGAAGAGCTGATGCGAGACCTGTATGCGAACGGAGATGGCGCTTGAGTGCGGTGTGGCTGGGAAATGTGCGGTTGCACTCGCTGCAGATGTAGCTGCGCACGCCTGCGTGGACCTCCATGTGCTGCTGCAGAGCCGTCTGCGTCTGGAAGCGCTTCCCGCACAGCAAACAGAAGATGGCCATATCTGATCCTGGGAAAAGAAAGAGCGAGATGTTAGCATGAGTGTACGATTTCATTTACAGTTTGTATGTTAAAGTGTCCTGACTATCTAAAACACAGCAGCATTGGCTTTTGGAGCAGGACTATTATTTGCCTGACTCTTTATTGAAAAAAAATCTTTATTTTTGCAATTACGGGTTCTTGTGAATCCCATGATCACTGTAGAAACTGGACAATCAAGCTGAAAAAGACAATGATTCATTTATAAAATACACTCAGTCTCAGTGGATCAATGGGAGAATCTAATTCAGTACTACAGGGTGAGATGCACATATAATACGGTGCTACAAAAGGTCAGCGGACAGATACAGGAAATGACAAAACAACTAGAGTGGTTAGATGGCTGAAATTAATATTAGCAAATCATTGAAATCTCCGGTTACCGGTTAAAAAAAAAAAAAAAAAAAAACAGACTCACACCTGGGTGTTTAAATAGATAAAGGCATAAAGTGAGCAATTTTTCCTTCTCTTTTGCTTTGCTCTCATACACAGACTCACACTTCACACTTTTTTCAATTATCAGGCTCTAGAAAACTCTGGGGAAAGTGGGAGTGTTTTAAGCTCCGCTTCTATTTCATGAGTCGATAACACATCTTTGGGGCAAAGCTGGCACTAATTTAAAAATCTATGAGGAGCCCCAGTCTCATGTTCATAAAGCTCGATCAATCAGCATTTGCTGGGGAAAAAACGGGAGCGATTGAGAGGATGAGAGGAGGAGTTCGAGGTGAGCGAGAGAAACGACTATTCCTGTTCTTAAATCTCAGACAGTGCAGCTGAATTGCTGCTTCTCTGCAAATAAATACTGACAAGCCTTGCTTCTGGCTTTCTCTGGGCCCAGCCGTTTCCCTCCCCCTCTCACTGTCTCCATCTTTAATGACTCCTTACGTCTCTTGGTTTATCAATAAAAAGGAAGGGTGGTCATTGATTATGGATGGAAATCCCAAAGAAGTTTGGGGATGTAAAATGCAAGTTTGCTTCAGGAAGGTTCATGGCAAAACTAAAGGCTGTAAAGTAACTTAAAAAGCTAAATTTAAGGGGGCGGGTGGAGGGAGATAAAAGACAGGGTGACAGGGGGTAGGGAGGAAAGGCTCTGAGGAATGCGAGAGGTTAGGTGGACTCTGACCCAGGGAGCTCAAGGGTCTGGATAGGGTGGTGGGAAAGACTAAGCCACATCACCGGAGCTGCTCTGTGATTGCTCTTAAATCCCACATTATTGGTGACTGAAACATTTAATGATGATAATTTGCCCACTTTTCATTTCAAGTATTCCCTTCACAGAAAAGCCCAATCAGTGACCATGTACTGTGGCCCATGTATTTTTTTTCAATTTGGAGATTTGGCCACATTTTGGATCAATTACATTACGCTGTTAGCATACTATAAAGAGAATATTTTCCAGACAATATTGTAATCATTTTAAGCTCTGTATTAACGATTTTTTACCAGTAAAATAACACATCTTACAGTTCACTCCAAATGCACCATATTTCTCAGGTGGTAAGGACATTTCCATTGAAGAAAGAACACTATTTTGGGAACAGGAGAAGGGCAGGGGGGACAGTTGATAAAGCGGCAGCCATGAAGGGAAGTGCAGTGTCCATGTGATTGGTGTTAGCTGGAATTAAGTGTTCCTCGGTGTGAAGTAAAGAGCGTCACAAGTAAATGGCCTGGCTGGGAGAAACTCTTCTGTGAGGTACTGAAGGGTAAGGCAGAGAAAAAGAACTAGAGAGAGAGAAGTGGCTGACCCACTCGCCTCTATTACAGTGCAAAATTGAGTTGGACAAAGTGACACCTGGATAGAGGACTGGCTTTGGCTTCTGCTGCCTGTTGCCTGAGTTTTGGCATAATTTACCTCCACTCCTGTGTCTATTTATAAGGGCCTCTTGGCTCCATCGCAGTGTTAAGTTAATGGCCCTGAAGAAGCATCAGCCGTTACTTAACAGAGGGTGCACCGCACCGTTTAGGTATTGAGGGTGTTCCGCTTGTGTTCACCACTGCAAACACTTTCAGACTCCAGGATGGTTGTGCCCATATGATCCCTGGCTCAGAAGACAACTTCTGGGAATACCAGAAATCCATGTCTAGCATAATATGCCATGTAACACCTAGACATAATCTCCTAGAGACCCAGTGAATTCACTTGACAAAAGCAGTTTTCTGTCCTGTGTTGACATATTTGCTGTTGCAATAAGAAATCTAGGGAAGTCTTTGGTTACATTACAGCCATTAAAAATTGGTTGCGGGGGCGGGGCATTCTTATTACTCTAGGGAGTATCTGATTGGACAAAAATCTGTGTAGTGCAGGATGAGTCATCAACATTTTTGAATCACCAAAATAATTTTGCCAGAAGAGATAGACTATGCATTTTAAATGCATAAATGTACTAGAAGTTAATTTTATCAACTTTTAGTAGTCTACCAGATGATTTCAAAGATCATGTACATGTACTAAAACCACAAAAATCTGATTTTTATTTTAAGAATGCAGTACGCAAACAAACTGAATGGGGCTGTGATTAAAACTTAATGTGAGAGTTAGACGAGGCAACTGTTTTTCCCACAGGGCCGATGCTTGAGCTGAGAAACCCCACATGGAGAGCGTGTGTCGTTCTAAGCTGGTGAGACCAAAGTCAATTAGCTTGAGTTTCAATTCGCCCATGCTGATGGAATACAAACTCCTGCTGCTCTGTCTGTCGCCAATGCCGTGAGGTGTGATGTCACCTGTTGCTCAGCGAAGAGCTCGGAAATATGACACACCTGACACCTGTTCTGAAGCTCCGCTTGGAATGTGTTACCTAGATGAGCCCGCAGTATGCAGTATCTTGGTGTTTGAGCTGATGTATCTGATATGATGCGTCACTAAAGCTACTATAGTTACTGTCAATTTTTGTTCCGCCAAACAAAATAGTGCCAAATCAAATCAAACAAATCAAACAATGATCAGTGATTACGTATTTAATTAATAGGCGTGTTTGAACAAATCAGTTGAGGGAACAGTTTAATAACATCATGTTTTTGTTCCTCAAAGGGTGTTTGACTGAATTCAAAGTTTTTGTATAGTGCTTTTCACGATACCAATCGTTGCAACACAGCTTTACAGAAAATATTAAGTTTCTACATTACATTTAGGAGTAGGTTATTAGTGGTGACTATGGCAGAAATGTACAGTAAGAATCATGTGCCTGTACGGTTAACCACACCCACAATTACGATTAGGTGCTCATGTCAAAATGTTTTAAAAAAAAAAGTAACTATGCATGTAGAAGACAGAAAGGCAGACTGACAGATTAGATGTGTCTGCAAAGCACATAGGCTTGCGTGTCATACATGAGTACCAGGAAAGCCAGTGCCATGGAGTATATACACTAAGACTGTATGGTATGTGTGAAACTTGTGAGAGAAGTTCAGGTCTGACAGCAGGAGGGGAGCGAGGGGTCATGGGGGCAGCTGTTTGGGCCAGGTGGGGGGTAGGGCTGCCCGGGCGCTCCGGGGCAGAGGGGGCCTTGGCAGCCCGCTGAGCTTGGGGACAATGGGTGTTAGCAGGGGCTCAGACAATATGGTCAAACTGGTGCCAAAACTATACAACCCTTCTAACATACACAGGGGGTGTGCGGAGCCTCAAAAGAAAGCCCAAATATTTAGTCCCACAATTAGTATAATGTGCAAAACACAGAACTTTGACTCAGTGTGAAACTGGGCCATCAAGAGAAATTTACCATTTCCTACTGTGCTCGCAAGCGAGCATATCTGTGTATAGCACGGCATACTGAGAACATTAGTCACAAGAACCCCCAAGAGCAGTGTAATGATTTTCATGGGGACTGCATCTTAATTATAATTGGGATGTATAAATGTGAGCATTATAGGAGCGCATTACCAAAGGGCTCTAGGTCTAAAGGGTAAAGTCACATCTAAAGGCTTTCTGACCCATTCATTTCCACGGTAACATGATGCTGAATGAAATCCAAACAACAAGGGGTCTTGCACTCAGAGCAATTGGAGAGAACTGGTTCTCCCTTGCCTGGCTTCATATCTCTCCTGTCTTTTTTCCAGCATGAATCGGATTTTTAGTCAGGAAGAGAGCAAGACAGATAGATAAAGAGATGTTACATTAGTGTTTTTATGGCAGAGTGCTACAGGCTGCTGGGAAGTCAACAGGTACAAGCTGTTCCAGCGGCCGTGTGTGCGTGTGATGCGATATGTCTGCAGCATCTCTCCGGCCAGGGTATTCACTCACTCGCTCGCTCGCTCTCTCTCTCACTCCGGCTGACACCTAATGAGCCCAGACTACAGGAGAACTGCACATCCATGTAATCCGGGAGAGTGGCTGGGCATAATGTGGCATTAGAGGAGCCCAAGGCTTTCGGAGGGGGTTGCTGAGGGAGGGAGGGCAGGGACTGACAGCTCTGGTCTGGAATACAGAGCGTGTGACAGCACAGAGCGCTGCCTTAATGCATTCAAAACGCCTCTGTGCCTCTGACAAGAAAAGCAAAGAAAAGAGCTTCAATGAATTGTTTATTGATCTAACAGGAGGAGAGATGGTGAGACGGGAGACAGCGAGAGAGGGAGAGAGAGGGAGAAACAAAATAACATTTTGTGTGTTACTATCAAAGTGTCATTGGTCTCCGATGGTCTGCCTTACAAATACATGACACCAGACAGGGGGGCGTGTAAAATACGCTATTTGATTTAACAGGTTTTCATCTCAAGTGGTGGCTTTTTAAAAGGAGAATTACAATGGCAGACTGCATTTAAAAGCCTTAAACTGACACTTGGAAGGGAAAGAATGAGGACGGCGCAACCTGCGTTAAACCGTCGAAAAGATTGCTTCTCATTCCGGGGCTGGTACCTTTCCAGACTTTGCACCAATAATAGTTACAGATAATTCACTTTCGTGTCGGGCGGCTGCGGTGAGATGCCGTGTTCTCAGATAGATTAATGCTACCAGATGTCATTGTAGAAGCCATATTA